TAAAAGTGGTTTTGAATTGGGAAAATTGCATGTTTTGTTTATCCCCTGACTTTCAGGTTGTACTTCTTTCCATGACAAATTTTGTTTTATAACTTTTATATGGCATGGTATTGAATTCTAAATTTGGTTATGAATACGTGCATCCAGCACTGCCTATCTTGCATAAAAATATATCACTCCCTTCCAAACAGAGCCTTATTTGTAACATTATGCTCCCTCCGTCCCACACAACTTTTCCCTTTTTTTTCAAATGTCCCAAAATAATTCTCTCTTTTTCTCTTTTCCTTTTTAGAAAAAGAATATGTGATCCAAAATACTTTTATCTCATGGAACCAAATTTTAATGACTCACTTTTATTAATCTCCTTTGAAGCCAAATACATAAGCATTTCAGAAGGATGTGAAATATACCAACCACATGGGATCCAGAAATGGCCAAACAGAGAGGAGAAGCATTTCAAAATTCTAAGTCCCATTTGCACTAACTTCTAAGGACCCCACAACTGATTCAAAGGCTTCATGACAAACCTATACAAAGAAAGATGCTTTTCACACCAAACCCCACTAACCCCCCACCCCCAATAAAAGAGAGAGAAAAATGATATATGTTTTTTGCTTTTTTTTTCACCACAAAATAAATTGAAGTATTTTTAAAAAAAAGTAAATTTGACTTACTAATTTTACTCCAATTTTATATAAATTGAATTTAACGTCGTAATTAAATCCACTTGGAAAATTCAATTCACTCATTTCAGTCATTCATGTTTCAATCAAATTTAATACACACACAGAGAATAATCAATGTGGTGGTTCAAGCTGCAGACAAAGAATCAGTCTGCATTAAAACAAATGTTTACTCTTTTTCTTTTCTTGAACAAACCTACACAATGCATTTAGGTCAATTGTTTACCATACAATTGTACACATGTTAGACCGGTTTGACCCGACCCGAAATCCCAAAAAATAAAAAATATGACCGAAAATCGGACTTGAATATATATGAAACAATTCTATATAAAATCAAAAAAAATAGGGAGGAAAAAAAAACTTAAATTCCATTAAAATTGTTCCGCATGCCGGGAATGGGAGATCTACTGTGTTTTTCACCCGAGCCCGGATCTGCATGCCACCGGTCAAATTCCGGTTAGCAATGGCAGATCCGGTTCGGTTCGGTCCCATTTTTCTGCACACCACGAGTTCATTCGCAACAAATTTGCCACAAATAATAGTCTTTATTGGCAATTAGTAGTTAGCAGATTCAAACAACAATAACAAACCTAATAAAATTCCACAATATATAGGGTTTTGAATCTGTACAGATTTTTTTTAAAAAAAAATGTACGGATTCAAAATCTACAGTCTTAATTAAGGAAAAAAATGAAGAAATAGTGTGAATTGAGAGAAAAATTGAGAGAAAAATGCTTACTTTTCTGTTCATCAAAGTCAATACTTATCTCTCTGTCTCTAGTGCAACAAGAGAGTCCTCTTCGCCTTATTGTCATCTCTCTTCTTTATTCAACCGTACATATACCTTTTTACAAGATGAAGAATGAAAAAAAATTAATTTGCAAATTATTGTAAACTAGAAAAATGCAAGAAAATCTAGGGCTCAAGTGTAATAAATGCAGCCTAAATTGTATATTTATGAATATATGGAAAAATTACAATTTTTTTGGTCAAACATGTTGGGATCTTGTTTTGTATTTGTAAAAAAATAGTAATACGTATTCTATTTAGATTTACCGTACTTCATTTGTTTTTTTAAGCTCCACTTTTTTTTTGAAATATGACTTTAAAAAAATATGTGGATTTTTTTATGGAATTATCTTGGAAAAAATAGTGTGGAAAAGAAAAAAAAATGCAAAGAAAAATAAAAAAAAAGGGTTGAAAACTTGAAATTTTGAAGATCCCATCAAATCCAAAAACTCGGTAAAAAGGCTCCGAGTTGACTCGGAATCAACCACATTGAGTTTAAAAAAATCAAACACAAAAAAGAACTTAAAAAGAGGATATTAGTAACCGTTCAAAATTCTTTAAAGATAAATACCGAAGTTCAGAAAGTGGTCAAGAAAAAAGCTTCTAAAAGTTGGAGTTCATTATTGTTCTAACTGAAAAAAAATCGACTTTTGTACTTTTCTGTACAGAAAAGAATTTCTGAGAAAAAAATTGATTTTTTAAAAAAAAGATTGTATTTTTTTATATATATGCAAAAAAACTGAATTAAAACAATTACTTGGAGAAAAAAAAAGAACCCAATGTGATGTGTTTACAAAAACTGCAGTAAGATGTTGGAGATATTGGTTTTATACTTTTTTGTACAGAAAAGAATTTCTGAGAAAAAAATTGATTTTTTTTTTTAAAAAAGATTGTATTTTGTTTATATATATATGCAAAAAACTGAATTAAAACAATTACTTGAAGAGGAAAAAAAAAGGAAACAAATGTGATATGTTTAGGAAAACTGGAGTAAGATGTTGGAGATTTGGAGCTAAGAATTAAGGAAATAAAAATGGAGTGATTTAATTAAAAGAAAGAAAAGTAAATTAGGGTTGTAGAAACCTGATGAGATGAAACTCAATATCCCCTTTCAACCAGAAGATGAAGATGAATAAAACATTGCATTTCTAGAGAGAGACAGAGGAGGGTAGGCTGAGGGATATGTGCAGTGCTCGGTGTGAGTAATCTATAGGGAGAAAATAGTCATTTTCATGGGTGGAGGGGTGGGGGTGGGGGTGAAGATCGAATATGGGCCGTTCGATTTGGAAAAGGAGCAGAAGTAGGAAGCTATGGTCAGAAAGCAGAAGATCTGAAGATGATGACGATAGAGAAAGAGAACGAATTGAAAAGGAAAAAAAAGGAGATGAATTGATTTTTTTCCTTCTTTCCATAAATAAATTGACGTTTCCCGTTACTATGGTTAACTACAATTACTCCGTATTTTTTTTCAAATTATTTTATATAAAAAATGATATGAAATTATAAAATAAAAACTACATCTTTGAAAACTACATGAAAAATATATAAAACTAGATGTGATATGACAATATTATTTAATCAAATAGGATAAAGAAATAAGCCAATAAAGTTTGACCATGTGAATAGTGAACGAAACTGAACTATTGGACGGAAGGAGTAATAAAAAATTAATGGCAAAAAGTAGAGTCTATGACTTTGTTTGGTAACAGCGTCCAAAATTTTAACGGTGCAGATTAATTCTGAAAACGCTAACGCTAAAGGCTACCGTCGGATAATTTTTTCAAAACGCTAACGCTAATCTCTGAAGCTGATGCCAAACGGGACCTATATCTGATATCTAGAGAGAGTTTTTGCTTAATTATTATAAGTTCAACGCATTTGTCAGAAATTAGACTCGAATATTTTCTCTGATTGCGGAAAGTCCACTAACAAGAGAAAAGTATTGAAGATCTTTGTTGTGGAAAATTACTTAATAGGGTTGTTAGAGGTACACCAATATATAATCATATCCTTCCAATTTTGTAAAATTTTTGATGCAGACTTTATATTTATAAATTTATTTTTTGATTTTACACTTATAATCTTTTAAAATAAACTCAAAATGATTTCAATTCTCACTGAAATAAAAAGTTAATTTAAAACGAATGATGTATGTAAATAAAGAAATTTAATGTATAAAAAAATAAAACTTGATGCTCCATGTGAAACATACTCGCACATAACTTGAAGAACCTGAAATTCTCCTTAACATTAAAAAACAACAACGAGATTTTGTTGATACTCAAAACGAATGATGCCCGTTCTAACGAGAACATTTACGGTATTCCGTTCTTAATTTTGATATTTTTATCCTCTTTAACTCTAGATAGCGCTCTATTCCGAGAGTAAAAATTATTAATTTAACGAACAGAACAACATATGGAACCAAAATGAAATTGATAGCACAATACAAAGTATTAATTCTACCCAATGATACTTATGTCATGTTCTCCTCAACTTATTTTTTACTTTTTATTTATTCTCATTGAAATCAAATAGATCAGACCAGATCAAATTCTGTAAGATTAGGAATAACTTTAAATATAATTACATTTAGATCAGATTAGATCAAACTTATTCCAAACATGGCCAAATGACCTATATGAGCAAAATGTAAATAGGGAGTAAAATAAGGCCCCTTTTTTACCTATATAGAAATGCTGATTTTGGGCCCTATTTATGAGACAAAATAAGATGTAAATTGGGAGTAATCAAGGACGAGAAAATTGGGAGTAACAAAAGTAACATAAGAAGGGCATGTTTTTTTTTTTGCCCAAATTTTATCTCCAAATTCGAAATGGTAGTTTTGACTAGAGGTTCTAATCTTGGGCTGTTGGCACAGTAAATTTATGTTAAAATTAAGTCAAACTAGTAAGTACAGTTGTGAAATTAGGAGAGAGAAAAAGATGTTTTATCTTGTTTGGTTTAAGAAAAAAATGATTTGATTAAAGGCAAATTCTACCATACCCTAGGATCTATATATGAGCAAAAATAAGCATTTTTTTATTATTTAATTAAAAATTTATGTTTCAAATAAAAAATAAAAAAAGTTTTTTTTATGTGAAAAAATTTACAAAATTGATATGCATCAAGGTGTACGGAAGAAGAATTCTTGATTAGAGTGAAAAAGGAGAGATCATCAAGAGAGTGAAAAAAGATACTTTTCCTTGTTCAGTTTTTGAAGGCAAGTAGTCAAATAAGATGGATATTCATGATTGATACTATAAAAACAATTTCACTCCTATTTTGTGAAAATATACATATAAAATTGATATTTTGATATATTTTTAATATTTTACTCCTACTTAAGTCTTTTTCTCTTATTTTTAAGACACCCAACTCAATTGCACAGATATAATATACATTAATTTAAAAAAAATTAAATGTTGAAGTATTGTCCAGCCGCACAAAAACAAATATGAATATGTTCTTCAAAAAGTCTCGGTAACATTTGGGTTAAGTAATTCAACACTCCGCAAATTGTGATTCCACACTTCTGATTTATACTCTTTTCTCCCAAAAACAAATTCTCTAAGTTTGCCTGTAAGAAATTTAAATTGTGTCAAAAATGAGGAAAAGTAAAAAGATTTTTTTAGTAGTTCATCTATTTTTATATTGTGAAATTTACACTAAATAGTACTTACTCTATCCCAATTTAAATTGTCTATTTGTCTTTTTTTCTCCGTTCCAAAATAAGTTACTTGTTAGTTATTTTCGTAAACTTTTAAAAATAAAATACCTAAACTACACCTAAAATAAGTCACTCTTCTTCATCTTGTCTTCTCATTCATCGTAACCCCCCTAAAAAGTAATGACAATTTCGAAAAAACAACTCTAGTTTTTCTTTTCCTTAAATATGTCCAAAAGTCAAAACAGACGATTTAAAACGGGACAGAGTGAGTACAACATGACATTTCTCGGTATAATACCTAAAAAATTTTATTCTCTAAATAGTACCTAAACAACATCGAGTTGTGGGAAAAATATTTTGTGGGGGTGAACATTTACTTTGAATAATGTTCAGTGACAATGACATTTACTTTGAACAATGTCCACAATGGATATTTACTTAAAAAATATCCAGTGGATATTCAACAATAGTACAACAATGAAAAATTAAAACATATGATACTACATTATGAAATTAACTACGTATGTTTTAGTACAATATAGGTAAAATCTTTGGAGTATATGAATTGTACTAGATAATACTAAAACATACTCCCTCTGTCCCAATTTAAATTGTCAGTTTGCCTTTTTTCTCCGTCCCAAAATAAGTTGTTGTTAGTTGTTATCGTAAACTTTTAAAAATAAAATACCTAAATTACTCCTAAAATAAGTCATCCTTCTTCACCTTATCTTCTAATTCATAATCACCCCTTTTAAAAAATAATGACAATTTTGAAAAATCAATATAGTACTTAATTTTTTTATCAATATAGTACTTAAAAAGTAGTGACGGAGGGAGTATATCTTTATCAATATAGTACTTAAATTTTTTTATTCATTAAATAGTACTTAGAACAATGTCCAGTAACGGTAGACATTTACTTTGGAGAATATCGAGTAACAATGGAAATTTACTTGAACAATATCCCGTAAACATTGAACAGACTAAGAAGTTTAAAAATATGGTACTAGATTGGAAATCACTATGTTTTAGTACTATATATGTAAATTTCCCAAAGTGTATTTTACATTTCTCTATAAAAATTTACAAACTTCTCCCCTGGCTTGGATTGAGTGGTAGGAAGCTCTTTCCCAAATATTCATGAAGTTCATCAAGTTTCGAGTGTCAACGGAAGCAAAAAAGTAGGCTCTTTGTGCCTCAGTAAATTGAGAAAAGTATGAACAGATACTTATACAAAAAAAAAATTATGTTTCTCTAAAGTTTTTTTAAAAGGAAAAGAGCATATGGCAAACAATATTTCTATTTCTTCCGAACAAATTATAAATAAACATTTTTCACTTTTCAGTATTAATATATGAACAAACAAAATGGATTGAGATGAATGGTTGGGCAACAGAACCTCTTGACAGTTTGTTCCATCCACATGTGGTTTCACATATGTGTTGGAGAGATGGGAACAGTGGAACATATGATACAAGAATGAGTAATTTAGAGTTACAAATAATTTGGACACAAATTACACAAACTTGCTATTTGTGTATTTTTCCAAGTGAATAAAATGATTTTAAATAATATAAAAATAGAAATTTATATATGTAAACGATAAGTTTGTGTTCAAATTGTTTGTGACTCTAGCATTACTCGAAATATTTGCCAACACTATAAGGAGGATGCAACATGGGGAAATTCCCACAATACTATTAGCAATCAACTTAAAAGTAATTCAAGAAACTAGATATTCTCTTTCTTTCTTTTATAGTAGACAAGTTACTCCCAGCATTTTTGGTATGTCCCAATTCATATTGATTCTTGCATATTTTTATTTGTAGAATATATTACTAATACTATGTCCCAATTCATCTTGAATCTTGCCTATTTTTAACCGTAGAATATATCACTTGGACCGACCCCATGCGGATTAAGAAAGTGATAAATATGTGGTTGCTAAGCGGACATTATTTTGGATGAAACGAAACTGAAAAGTGAGAAGATGATTTTGGGACAAAGGAAGAAAGTATATGATTCATAGAGCTTCTATCTCTTCCGCATAATCTCAGCCACACAATTCGAACGGGGAGATTTTTATCTTGCTAATGTAAGACGCCCAAACACTAGGGGGTACCTTGTACCTTATCAGGGAACACATATAAACATGCACTTTCAACATTTCTAAAGAGGCACAATAAGAGCAACTCACATTGAAATTAGGCCGCAAGGGCGAATACATTCATCTCCGTAGCCTTGTGATTGAGAGAACTTTAATCCTCGGAGAGCAAGATGGGCTGGCTATACGCCTATACTCAAACACATGAATGTAAACTACACCATTCGTAATCAAAATTATTATACTCCGTAATGTTAATGATAATGCACGATTAGATAAAAGAGTTCTCAGTATGATGATTTTTTTTGTAAAGTGGAGCAAATAAACAATGTGAAAAAGTTGATCAAGTCAAAGAAATGAAGGTACAACTTACTTTGAGTGTTACTTATTAGAGATAACCTCACGTCCTCACGGTTCTTTTGACACACATTTTGGGTGTCATAATATGACACCAGAGTCCTACGATACTCCGGTGGACTTTCGACCAGGTCTTACCCCCCCAATCCACGCCACAAACCCAACCCCTCTGCCCCCACCCCAACCCTAAGCTCCCAGACCCCAGAAGTTTGCTGAAATGCTACATTTGATTTTTGTATCACCGTGATTTCAATACACATATGTACATAATAACTTATAAGCGTAGCCATTCGGGAACATCATTTGTAATTACTAGCATTGGAATGTTGATTACATTGTAATGTTGGAAAGGCACATATTCATGTTTAGAAGTGTGAAAAGCTAAACATTACCCTTGAATGAGTTTTGTGAAATGTCTGGCTATGTGAAATAGGTACTACATTATTTCACGTTATTATCTATCACATTATTTTAGATTAATATTTTTTGCACAACTTAAAATCATCTAGTACTGCGTATGGGCAAATTCTTATGTCAGTCCAAACTCACTTAATGGACCTCAGTGCATAAACATATTGGAAGAATTAAACTTTTTGCAAAAAAAAAAAGAAATAAAATCACTTGTAAGCTCATGAAAAGTACGAGAAGATCCACATTTCACATGTAGACTTTAAGACCAGAGAAGCACAACTCATGCGTATGATATTAATATGATCTCCAATAAAACAGCACACATAGCATAGAGTTATCCAAACATACCAACCAGACTCCATTTCATAAAGCAAAATCAATTCCAAACACTACAAATCATCTATCATCCTTCAACAGAAAATTCTGGTTTTAATTTTAAGAAAAACTCGAAATTAGTCCCAAACACCACGACTAGCTCATTTCTCCAACTCAAGATGGTAATTCATTAAAGGGGTAATCTTTTTAAAGTTCTAAGCTCTTTTATAAGGCCTAATGGAATTAAATAGCTGGATTTGATTTTTTAGCCTAGAGCTTCATGCCAGGCTCATTGAACTTTTACTACCTAGATGCTAGATCTTCCTTTAACCTCCTATGATCTGCACACGGCTAGATTAGTCCCCGACTAAGCACCCCTAGGCGTTATGTTCTACCGTACCATTTGGAAATTCATAACAGTATGAAATTCATTTGACGAAAATTGATTTTTTTTCAAAAGTGGATGATAGTAAGATTCAATTTCGTGATTTCTACCTTCGAAGTGAACGAAGCAGCTTTAATAACACTTAGACCAACTTAACCAAAAGTTCACTACCTCTGATTGCCTCAGTGCTAGTTTTTCCTTAATTGTCTAGGATTTGTACACGTCTCGATTAGTCTCCCCTAAGCAGACTTATTTTTTTTTTTAAAGTGGACCTAAGACAACAAAGCTCCTTCGAACCATGTTAAGAAACCAACTTAACGAAAAAAATTAAAAGTTTTTGTAGTTTAACACCTAACAATACGAGATCCATTGAAAACAATGATAAACACCAGCCTAAAAGAGCAAAGATAAAGAGAACAATAAAATCAAGTATATATTCATTCAACTATCCACACAATTAAACCAGAAGATTGAATCGGATTAATAACTAATCAGGCAAAACAAGTAAAACCTAACGAGAATCAATCGCAGGAATTCAGATCAGCCGAACAGAGAACGGATTCAATACACATACCCGCCAATTCGTGCGAATCTCCGGTTTCAAATCGCGGCAGCCTCCAATTCAATTGATTCAGGGCAGGACCTAAACTCCGCCGAGGACCGTTGCCTGGAGCGGCTGCGGCGCCGTGAGAGTCCCGACCTGCACCAAGCGAATCGGAGACCGCCGCAAACGTAAGCTAACGAAATCCAAACGCGTCGCTACAGCAGCAGATCTGATGGAATGGGGAAGAGAATGAAGGGCAAAGAGGTTATTTGTAGATGAGAGAGGCGAATAGAAAAGTGACGCGTGTGCGGTTTTCTCGGCCCACCAGCCATAGTTGATGTACAGTAGAGGAGAATCCAGGCACCGTTGTACTCATGAAGTCCTCGTGATGGTAATGATGAGGATGAGGAGGATGATGATGATGATGGAATTGTTCTTAACTTTCCAGCTATGTCATTTGCATGCTTGTGAACCATGAAAAAAAAAAAGCTAAAACTCCATTTTTGTCATTGTCTCTTCTTTCTTTCAATTTTTTTTTCTAGTTTCAACCCATTAAATAAAAGTCTAATATGGTGAGACTAGCAATTTCACTGTATTTTTTTAACACATCCGATTCTCCCATAAAAAAAATAATAATTCATTTCCATAATTTATTCCCCTAAACCCCCCACCTTAACCCCCAAGATGGGGCAGAGGTGGGGTAGGTTTAGGAAATCCCCCAAGATGGGGCAGAAGTGAGGGTAGGTTTAGGAAATGGGTTACGGGTTAAGAACCACTTCCCAAATGGGAATGGAATGATGCTAAAGGACAGGCCGGCTTCAAACCAAGAAGAGATTGAAAAAATTCATACCCATTAATACGACTTGTATAGTGTGTGAAAATGGTGAGGAGGACAACAACCATTTGTTCTAGGCCTGCACTTGCCTCAAGAAAGTCTTTTGTGATGTCCATAAACCAATGGGTTATTATGACATACATGGGATCAATATAGATGACTTTTGCACACCGAAAATGTTAGGGTGCCACCACATGGGTGCTACCATGGGTGCACCCATGATTCACACAGACAAACACAAATGATAATTGTCTGTGTCGCACAGATAATTATCGTATGTGTTTGTCTGTGTGAAGCATAGGTGCGCCCATGTGGTGGCACCCTAGCAGAGTCCTCTGCACAAAGCTAAAATCATCAAATGGCAAGAAGAAGAGATCAAAATGGATAGCAGCATAGGCAACGATCAGTTATGCACTTTGGAGGGACAGAAACACGAGACAACGTAACCAAGTTACAATGAAAGAGGAAGAATGTATAGGTTATGGAAGCAAAACTAACCTCTAGGAAGCTGGTAGCTTATCATGGTTGTGTAGTTGGTTTTGTATGACTCTTTTGATTGTGGTAATAAAGATGTGTGTTGTGTTTCAAAAATAAATACGAATGTGTATGAACAAACCATACTACATACTCTATTTAACGAGTCAATTTTTAGAGCCAATTTCTTATTCACTTTTTGCCATTTTTGACATACTCCCTCCGTTCCTAAATAAACTTCCATTTTTGACTTTTTGAAAATTTAAGGGAGGAATATTTTTGTGTTGACTTTCCAAAAATACCTTTGATGTGATGTGTAAAAGTAAGATGTGATAGGTAGATTATTAGTAAAAAGGTATGATGTGATATGTAGGGTATGAAAAAGTAAAGGGTAAAAGAGGTTTTTTAAGAGAAAAGAGAAGTTTATTTGGAGACAAAGAAAAAACAAAATGGGAAGTTTATTTAGGGACGGAGGGAGTATAATTTATCAATTTTTCTCATTTAAGAGAACACACGTTCATTATTTATCAGCTAAAACCATCATTAGTGGAACTAATGATAATTATTCTCAACTTAGTACATGTAATACCTATTAAAATGTCAAAAAATTCCAATACCCTCCTTGAACAATTAAAATCATTGCATCTATGGTTCGTCTGTGATAGATCTAGAAGCACGTTAATCACGTGCTTGTCCAGTGCAAGTATGAATTCAACTAATATCATATACCACACGTGAGTTCAATTTTACAGTATGCCATTCTCGAACATTTTCTTCTATATTTTGGAAGAAAGTCTAAAGAAAGAGTAAAACATTGAAAATATACCAAAATATGAGTTTTATGTTTTTATCTCTGAAATAAGAATTAAAATAAATTTGTAATGTCAATCATGACCATGTACATTACCAAAAAATATTATGAATTGTCCATATACAGTGTCATATTACCAGAGTACAAACTTTTATTTTGGAGATAGAACTTTTATTTTGGTACTTTCTATAAATTTTATTTGTATTCAAGGTAATTTCTTCCATATTTTTAACCTTTAGGCTTGACAATTGTTCTCGCTTTAGGCTTTAGTCGTGGGTAACTAAACTCGAAGTCTATGCACCAATCGATCAAGTTATTAATCAATCGATCAATCTCATCATCAATTAATCAATGACATCTTCGACCATCAAGCTCCAATAGGTATACTGATAGTGTATTATTAACGCACTTCTAAATCTAGTGCAATATTTTTAAATGTGTAGGTATGAGTGCACAATATTTTAAAGTTTAGGAAGAATCTGTGCAATTGTTGGAGAGCACTATACGTATAGGTTTAAATGGTACAAAAAACTCATAAAATTAATAAAATTTCTTTTATCCTATATCCTATCCTATATATCCTATCCTATATCCTATATCCTATCCTATATATATATGTAAAGTTGAGTTTATGTGTTGTAGTGTTGACATGTGGCATGCCACATATGCATCCACGTATGCACACATTAATGAGGTGGATGTATTTCATTGGTTCAATTAGTTTTTTTAAAAACTTTTTCATTTTTTAACAATTCTATAAACATATATTTCACCATTGTAAAATATACTCCGTATTTTAAACATATATACACACACACACACATACATATATACATATATATGATTATTTTATACTATCACTATTTATTTTAGTTTATTACCTTCTCAAAAAATGATAATATAAATTTATTCACATATGCATATTTATGAATTAAATACTTTGCTCCAAAACTTTTATCTTTTTACATTATTTATTTTATTATTACGTATATTTTTCAACAAAGTAAATAGAATAAAGTTGGTTTAATTGAAGGGTGACAAGTGACATTATGTTACATCTCTAATGATGTATCATTATTTAATTAGTTCATTTTTATTATATTATTTTATTAATTAAAACCCTTTTCATTAGTGTTTCATTCAATGACCATTAATTTTGTATAAAACATTTTATTTGTAAATTAACATACCAATATATATTTCACCAGTTTAGAACATATGTAATCACTATTAGAAAACTAAAATAAAAAAATAATTTATAGATTGTCAAAAATTTAGAATATATGCGAGCTCGTGCGAAGCACAGGGTTAAGACTAGTAGATTGGTAAAAAAGACTATACCAATATGAGAGGAGAGAATAACTAACATGACACATGTAAAGAGAAATGTAGGCACAAGCCGTGAAGAATGGCAAAAAATGCAAATAATGTACTCCCTCCGTCCCATGAAACATATGACTTTTGCTTTTTAGGAGGGATTTAAGGGGAGTGTATTTTGGTATTGAATTTCTAAAAATGTCCTTTGATGTGATGGGTAAAAGTATGATTTGATGGATAGATTATTACTCTCTCCGTCCTATAATGATCTTCCCATAGCACTATTCTAACTTTACGGGAATTTATATTTATTTGTGTTTTTTCATGGCCTATATGATAAAATAAAACATTCTTGTCACCACTTGTTTTGTTGAACTTTTGATGTAGTTTTTAAATATGTATGTTTTATTTTTTATTTCTATACCAATATTTAAATAAAATAGATTGAAAAAACTTGGAATTTTTCTTCGTTTTGCGAACCGGGGAGATCATTATAGGACGGAGGGAGTAATAAAAAGGTATGATGTGATAGTTAGGGTATGAAAAAGTGTTGGCGACAGAAGAAGGAAGCCGGATCAAAGAAGAAAACTGAATCCCTTTGGGATTCGGTTTAGTATCTTTCCTAGTTTGCTTAGTTCTTGTTATAGTAGGAATAGAAATATGGTAAGAATAAAAGTTTACTTAAATGCTTTACTCTCTTCCTATATAAAGAGGGTTAGACCTTTGTAAGCACAGAACAATCGAATATACAGAATATTTTCCCTCTTATTAATTTCTACATGGTATCAAAGCAAGTTTTGAATTCTTGAGACCTCAAACACGCTTCTTCCCCTGCCGGTGGGCATACAAAATTCAATGCCTACCGGCGGGATATTGTAATTTTTGATTTTCTTTGATTGTTCTCCCTCACTAAAGAATATCATGAACTCCTTCAACAAAAAACACTGCTGTCGAGGAATCCCGCCCAACCATCAATCTTGAAGTTGTCCGAGAAGGGTTGTTTTACAGAAACATGCAACTCTTTCCTTAGCAGGCAATAAAAAAAAGTCGGCGTTCAGGGTGTTCGAAAAGAATGGCGTCCCCCCTGTTTGTTCGAATACTGTGAAGGTTCGAAAAGAATGGCGTTCCTTTACTCGGCTGATTATTCGGCGGATTCGAAAAGCTTAGCGTTTCCGTTGAAGAAAAAAACTGAAGTGTCTAGATGATACTTGGACAACGATGGCAGCGGCTTCCTCAAGCTTTGTTGCTTTGTTCAATCTTTTGATGTCCAAGCTGGGCATGTTGAACTCCCAAGCTCCAGCTTGAGGGGGGGTGTTGGCGACAGAAGAAGGAAGCCGGATCAAAGAAGAAAACTGAATCCCTTTGGGATTCGGTTTAGTATTTTTCCTAGTTTGCTTAGTTCTTGTTATAGTAGGAATAGAAATATGGTAGGAATAAAAGTTTACTTAAATGCTTTACTCTCTTCCTATATAAAGGGGGTTAGACCTTTGTAAGCACAGAACAATTCAATATACAAACTATTTTCTCTCTTATTAATTTCTACAAAAAGTAAGGGGTAAAAGTGACTTTTTAATAGAAATGAGAAATGTTTTGTGGGACGGTTAAAAAAAGAAATAAGAAAGATTTCAATGGGACTGAGGGAGTATATACACAAGTTGAAGAAAATTACGCAGTATCATATTTCTTGACTCTGTACATTGATGAATGACGATCCAATAATCTTCCCTCAGAAAATGTGAGACTGAAGACATTTATCCCACCATTAAAACTCAAATAACTCTTCTTTTGACCTCCAAATTCTTTGTAAAAAAATTTGGAAAAATTTATTGTTTTTTATCTCTGTACAGCATGAGTATATAGTAATTAATTAATCTATATGCCTAGCTAGCTAGCTAGATTTTGTGCTACAATTTGGGTACACAGGTGTTCCATTGATGGGAAGCTTGAGGTGACAATAAAGGTGCTGCCTGAACTTCACCGAGCCCACCAGCCCCACCCTCCACCTCGTCCCCGTCTCCCCTTCAATCTCCAACACCACGTGCTTCTGCCGCAGCGCCGCCTCCACCGAGTCCGCCTGGTCCGGCGTGAGCGGGATCGGAGTCGACTCAACCGGGTAGAACAGCTCCACTGAGCTGTTCTTCGGGACGTCGAAGGAGCCCGCCCTCAGATACGCCACCTTCACCCCGCGGAAGCTGAGCAGGTACCGCGTCCCGTAGAAGCTCGAGTGGGCCCTCACGTTGTGGTTCTCCGCCCTGATCACGATCGCCGCCTTCAGTGTCAGGACGCTCGCAGCGTCGTACGAGATTCTCTCCAGATGAGCTCTCGCGACGCTCATCTGGGGAACCCTCGGCTTCACCACCATGTAAGCAATGAATATGACAATTCCTATTATATTGTCGCCGACCATAACGACGTCAAAGACAATTAAAACTGAATTATTAAAGTCATGTAAAACATTCATAGACTACAACCGCAAGTTTGAGGTTTTTGTTGATTTGGTATTTCAACACGGTTAGCATATGGAGTTAGGGTTTATTGTTCGGCCATAATATAATCAACTAGGTCGATCTTGTAATAAACACATATATACCTGTAACGATCACGGCGACGGTTATGAAACTGCAGACAAGCGCGAAGCACCAAACTAGAGGGTTGGTGCGCCGCTCGGGGCCGACAACGGGCTTTGGCATTCGGAGGTCGTCGGCAAGCGGGTGGGTCGGTGGCCGGAGAGCGGTTGGAGGAGCATCAAATGAATGGGTTGTGGTGTGGGGTTTTTAAGGGGGAGGTAGGCATAGCTAGCTATAGTAAGGTGCAAATGGTGGGAAAGGTTTAGGCATCTTTTCCTTTTCCAAAGTGTAAAGTCACCCTCCACTGCATGCAAAAACCATTGTATTGAAAAGTACTCTTAAAAATACCAAGAGTAAAAATACCAAACTTGCTCTATGTGTACACCCTTAAAGAACCTATACGTACGTTCACTTTATGACAGTCATTAAACTAATCTTTCTTCATCATAGGATAATTAACTCATGGAGGGAGATGAATACTCCGTATATTATACTCGTATACTACTTCCGTTCTCAAAGAGGGTTCCTAGTTTGACAATAATTAAGAATATTTTAAATTGTAGTTGGCTTCCAACTTTGCTCTTGATGTCATGGATAAATTATTAGCGAAAAAGTATGATGTACTGTGATAAGTAAGGTATACAAAATTAAGGGTAAAAGTAATATTTTTAATAGAAAATGGAAGTATTTGGTGAAAGAGAAAAAAATAAAAGAGCAAGTATTTTGTAGAAAGGATGAAGTAAATATATAGGAGACACATATATATGCCTTCTATTGGAGAACCATTGGCATTTGATATCAGTGGTTATTGGTATTTGGTCATATTTACTTTTGCTATCGTTCTTTGCTCTTTTACCAAATTTAGCTCGAACGATTTGCTTTCTGCTGACATGCCTCTGGGTAACTTGACATGCCCAAAAAATGTATGGCAATTCTTATATCCACTTATGTTCTACTTCGCCTAAAGTTTTCTTTGCTCCACCAACAATGACTTTTTTAACATTTTTCCCTCGATTTTTAGATTTCTTGGTAAAGGTGTCTCAAGCTACACGAAATAAAAGTACACCTTGACAACATTTGCTTCCTCTTTTCCTTTTTTCTCTTCAACCTTTTCTAGAGTTCAATCAGTTTGACTTGTAGCACTTCATTATTTACATTGGCAGTTCTTAGTGTTTGTCAGATACGCATTGAAACTCGACTCTAGCTCTTTTGCTTGTTGCTTCTCCCTTTTAGGGATCTGGGATTTGACGGGCTAACTTCCATTCATCCGACTTAGGATGCAGAGACTGAATGAATTCTGTCATTCTTTTCCAATTGAGTCATTCAAATATACTACCATTAAAATAAGAGAAATTAAAAGGTAATCATTAAAAATAATATGAATATAATTTGAAAACAAAAATTATTAAGAGAAAGTAAAAATTCTAGGAAATATTTTTGAGATTTTCATTAATTTTTTGAATGTTTCATCGAGTTGAAATCATTTTTTTTTGTAATTTCATATTGCTATTTCTTATATTAAAAAATGGGGTGTTGCCCCCGATCACATGTACCAGTTTTGTCCCCAGCCTTTGCGATTCCTAGATTAGCTATTGGATAAATCTCATAAAATTATTCTTATATCAATATCTATTGCGGGGTATAATTTTTATTTAAATAATAATTAAATTTTTCAATTTTGATGATAAAAAAATTAAAACTTGTTAAATACTTGGAGAGCGTAGGTTTTAACATCTATTTTGTCTAAAAATATCAAATTCAATAAATATTGGGGAGAAGTATTAAACTACTAGCTAAGTAGACACATCACACATGTATATATGTATATATTTATAATCGCAATATTAAACACTTAGGTCCCGTTTGGTACATGGAATTTAAATTATGGAATTGGAATTGAGGACATCAATTCCAACTATGGTGTTTGGTAGCACAAATATTGTGTGGATTTGGAATTGATACTGCAAAAAATGAATTGAAATTGGAGAATTCAATTCTATGGAATTGAATCACATGCATGGAATTCTAATTCCAATTCAATTCCAATTCCATCAATTCCGTATACCAAGCGGACCCTTAGGAGTTAGAGTATAAACAATAGATTTTATATTGATTGAATTGAAACAACAGATTATAATTGAATTGATTCCTAAACTTAGGCATCGTTTGGTACACGAAGTTCGAACTATGAAATTGAAATTGAGGACTTCAATTCCAATTCTAGCGTTTGGTAACTTAAATATTATGTGGATTTGGAATTGATAGTGCAAAATATGAATTGAAATTGGCTGAATTCAATTCTATGTAATTGAATCACATGGAATTTCAATTCCAATTCAATTTCAATTCCATCAATTCCGTATACCAAACAGACCTTTAGGGTCCGTTTGGTATACGGAATTGATGGAATTGGAATTGAAATTTCATGGGATTCAATTTCATAGAATTGAATTCTGTCAATTTCATTTTATATTTTGCAATATCAATTCTAAATCCACATAATTTTTGTGCTACCAAACACTAGAATTCGAATTTAAGTCCTCAATTCAAATTCCATAATTTGAATTCCATGTACCAAACGTGGCCTTAAATATTTTCTTAAAAATTTTGTCACGACGAAGTATATATATAAGTTAAACAAAAACTGAAATTAAGTAGTTTAATTTGTCCACCAAAAAAACTTGCAACTTGTTTGCTAGTTGCACACTTGCAATTAGTACACGACAATCCAATAAATTACACACGTATAACACCTCCAATTTTCATTAGGTACACAACATTTCTATTCAACGATTGCAGATAATTAAAACTATTGGAGTATTAAGTGTTTTGTCTCGCAATAAAAAAAATACATTGTATATTGTTTTATTTTAATTAAGAAATACATTGTATACTGTTAAGACATGAATGCATGATGATTATTTTCATTTTGCATGATGATTATATTCATTTTTCAAGTACACACTTATGGTACGGAGACGTACTAATTCCTTCCGTCTCTGAAAAAACTTCATATTTCATCTTTTGCAGATCTTATAAAATATTTATAGAGTTTTACAGTGACAAATCCAGGGATTGAAGTACATGGGGGCATCATTGATTGGGGTTCCGGGGACAGCGTCCCCAGATTTTTTTTAAAATGAGGTATATGAAATGACAAAAAAGTAATGAGTTTTTTTCTAACATGTATTGAATGTAAAACATTTTTAAATAGGTAATGTGAAATTTGAATTCGTAAATAATTAATTATATTAAAGTTAGCTTAATTAGGTGGGATCACATTAATTTTTGTTAAGGGCATATATACATAAAATTAAAAAATTTATTTATTTTTACATTATTACAAAAAATTAATAGGGGGCATATGCCCCCAATTCCATTAGAGTGCATCCGCCACTGGAGTTCTATCTCATCTAAAATATTTGAAAACAACTTCTACCCGTTATAAAGAAGAAATATAATAAACTTAGACATTATAGATATGCATAGAAATGTATTTAGCGATGCCTAAAAAATGAAATTGAAAATTTTTATAGAGACGTGATATAAATCAAATTAGCTATTTAACATAATAGTAAGATCTTATTAACAAAGAGATCACAAGTTATTTTATTACTCTAAAAAAATTAAATACTTCCTAGCCTCCACCTGTTTTTGAATGCTCCCTAGCCTCCACCTTAAAAACTAAATAATACTCTCTCCTCTACTTAAAACTCTTTCTCTTTCATTTTGTTTGTTTTTCTTAAAATACTTTCTTTTTCTATTAAAAAACCACTTTTACCTCTACTTTTTCATATCCTACCTATCATATCATATTTTTTCACTAATAACTAAACTATCACATCTTACTTTTATTCATCACATCAGGAGAAAAATTAGAAAGTCAACTAAAATTACACTTTCCTTATTTTGCTCCAGAGCCAAAACAAGAACCGTTTTTAGAAACGGAGGTAGTACTCTTTTTTTTACCTACATTCGTTACTCATTTAGCAAAATAATCTAGTCATTTTATATCTTGTTTTAAAGAATTTTTGTTATACTCCCTCCGTCCCCAATTTGGTTACAAATTACGGATTACGGAGTAAACTTTTCTATTTTTTAAAATTATTTTATTTACAAATTAGTATATCAATAAGATATAAAACTTACATATTAAAAAATTACGTCAAAAGTTCTACAAAACAAGAGGTGACAAGAATATTTTATTTTATCAAATACTTAATGATATCGCGTATACAAACAAAAGTTATCGAGAGGAGAGAAAAAAAATTGTAATCCATTTAGGGACGGAGGAAGTAGCTTTTAAGTATGTATATGTTTTATGTTTTAACTCCAATCTAACTCTTGAATAAATTTGATATAAAAATAACTTTAATCAAATATTGCAAAATGAAACAGACAATCATTTAATTAGGTAGAGAGAGAGTACTAAAACATTAAGTAAACTTTTAATATAAATTGAATGTAAATAAATACAAAATAAATATTTTCAATAATACAAATGAAAAATTATCCAAAATAATCTAAACTTTACTCCGTCTTAAAAAAGTAATCCCACATTTCCTTGTAATGCATAACAATCTAAACTTTATTGAAGTTTACGAGTTTTGGGCCGCCATTAAGTTATTAACGGTGGGTTAATGGAACGGTCTGTTTTGGGTACAAAGTTGGAGTTTTTGAGAAGAAGAACAAGGAAGAACAGCATCCCGACGAGCGGCTATTGGCGGCGCTGCTCGCTAGGAGCGTAAGCGTAAAATTTAGGTCACCAAGAAAAGTGGCTTTGATATCATGTTCAAATATTGAAATAATAATATTGTTCACTAAGATATAGAGTACATGGTATGACATACATAAGAGAGACTCCTACACAACCAGGAAAAGAGAATGGAAACTAATACCGGAGTATATAAGATTATCATAATTAATACTACCATTATTATTATTGTCTAGCACAATGTACCAACTTTTAAAAAAACCTTAAATGTATTCTAGAAAATTGTTTAATTTCTTTGTAGGATTTCATCACAAGAAAGCATCATTAATCTCTTATTTTTCAAAACCTGACCCATTGTCATCCCTACTAATTAGTTACGGGCTCGGAAGAGGCCAAATTGAATTACATTCTGAACATAGTTGATCATTCAGAGTATATATTTTTAAATTTTTGACACGCATGCACTAAAGGCATTGTCAGGTCGATGTTACAGTAACGGATCTAGAAATTTAGATAGTTGTGGACACCATTGGTCAGGGGTTTGGGGATAGCAACTCGAAGATTTTTTAATATACTAAAAAATATATATGGAACAAAAAAGAAAAAAATTATTACAAATATTTATTGAATGTGAATTTTTTAATAGACAATTTCAAATATCATTTTACTTTATGAATATACAAGGGCAATTAATCTTACAATAAAAAGTTACAATAAACATTACAACACTGCGTTTTGGGTATCAATAATGATGCGTCATTCGTATAATTGATTATTTTTAATCCCTCAAGCTTACTCGGTAGCTCTCCCGAGCCTAGCATGTCTCTAACACACTTCTGCACGCCTTCTAGTCCACCACTTTTTATTTTGTTGACTTTGTGGTCAAATATGTGACCAAAATAAAAAAAAAATGGTGCATGGGTGTAGTGTGTTAGTAACCGGCCAGACTTGGGAGGTTATATGATTAGAGACTGTTCTTTAGAGCTTGAACTCTTAACTTTCAATTCCTTCCAGTTTCTTCCAGTTCTTTCCAGTTTCTTCCAGTTTCTACCAGTTCTTTCCAGTTTTCTCCAGTTTCTTCCAACTATATTTATTTTTCTTCAAATTCTTTCAACTTTCTGACAAATCACTCTAAAAATATATTATTATTATTATTATTATTATTATTACAACTATTATGTTCATAACTATAGTTTATAAAATATTTCATTTTTTCATCTCACTATTTTTATGATACACCTTCATTATTATTTTTTCTTCAACTTTTTAATATGAATAATACTATTCTTTTTGTATATTAATCTACATAAAAAATTAGGAAACTATTTAAAAAATTATGGATAAAATAGTTATGTACAATATTTTTTTAATTCAAATTTATATAAGGTAAACATCAATATTTTAATCTAAAATATAAAATATGGAATGTGGTAGGGAGTACTACATTATGAAAAGCAAAAGAAACTACATTTTGAAAAAGAAAAAATGACCCAATAAATGTAAAATAGAAATTCAACAACTAACATCACCAATAATTAAAATACAAGTAACAAAAAAGTTATACTTTCATTTATTTGATCTACTTTTTATTGTCTCTAATATGTAAAATAGTGAGCATATAAATATAAATAATCCAATCATTTTCAACAAAATCATATTGTAAAAATAATACTATGTTTTTATCTTAAAGGCAATCATTAAGATAACGTGATGACACCACCACCACCACCAACAACAACAACAACAACAATAATAATTTATAACAACAGAATAATATAAAATCACACATAAAAAATTTGTAAAACTTTTTTTTTCATTTTTCTAATTCCTTCCAGTTCCTTCTAGTTCCTTCCAGTTTGTTCAAGTTCTTTCCAGTTCTTTCAGTTCCTTCCAGATTCTTTCAACATTCAGCTCTTTTTTTGCAGTGCTAAAGAACAGGCTCTAAGTGCTCTCATTAATTATATTCAAAGAAACACAGAGTTACTTCAATTTTAATTAGTGGCTAATGTACATGATGCATAATTATTCCAATCGTTACAATAAAATTGTTTGCCTTGCTTTTGGTGGTNCTAAGTAAGTTTTTAGAATTTAACCATGTATATTTTAAATAATACTCTCCGGTAACATTTTTTATTTTCTCTTCTCCAAGTTTTGTTTTAAAAAAAATTGAACATCTCAATGTTTATAGTCTTAAATCATTGCACTATCAAATTCTCCAAGTATTTAATTGTTTATACTGCAAGTATCAGTGTTTTGTTTTCAACGACGAATTTAATACGGAGTATATATAGGCTCCGTTTGGCATCAATGTTAGCATTTTAAAAAAGCTATCTGACGGTAGCCTTTAGTATTAGCGTTTTCAGAATGAATCTGCATCATTAAAATTTTATCTAAAACGCTAGCGCTAATAGAAAAAACGCTATAACCAAACAAAGCCATAAACGGGAAGCAAAAGTCTAAATCCAAATCTGTAAATATATGATGTTAAAGTCACATAAGAGTCTTGGACTTTTAACTACGGTTGGACCTTTTAAACTAATAATTCTGTCTCAGTATATTCGTCTATTTTGATTTTTTTGAGTAAAATTGGATGAACTTTAAACTTCAATTAAATAAAAATGTAATATATTTTAGTATAAAATTGATTTCAATTGATTTGTATTGTTAAGAACTATTAAAATATTTTTCAATTTATTTAGATTTTTTATTTTTTATAGCCCTTAGATATTAAATCTAATTGATCGTATGTATTCTCATGTAAAATCTAATGTGCGTCATTCTCATATAAACGATATATATATATATATATATATATATATATATATATATATATATATATATATATATATATATATATATGTTGCTAAGTCTTCTTCAACAACAATATTTCTCACGAAAAAAAATGATGAGGAGCAATAAAAGTGGGAAGGCGGGAGAAAGTAACGGCGGCGGGCTTTGCTTCCCGCCGAGGTCATCACTGTCTCCGGCGCAGATGGCGGCGCTCAGCACGATCGCAGATACAATACTGCCCTCAGTTGAAGGCGGCGACGGCGGCGAGGACTCCGTCAAAGAGTTCTTCCGAACGTCTGCCTCCATGGCCGGAACTCCACAACATGTACTCTCTCAGTCTTATCCCCATTCTGTTTTTTTTTGTTGATTTGATTTTTATGCTCTCCAATACTTTTATTAAAATAATTCATTCAAAATAGGACCAAATAATAGTATGAAAATGTGATACTTTATTTGAAAATTTCAAATTACACTTCACTCTAATGCCTTCATACACCTAAGATAAGAGAAAATTGAACAATGTTCTCTATACACCCAATGGGATACCCATTTGTACACCAAGAAAATACACACACACAGACACAAAATATTTGTACTGCACTGACATTTTGTATTTACATGTGTCTGTGTTGTCTTGGTGTACAAATGGAGTACTCCATATTGATGTACCCCTAGCATTGCCCTTGATATTTATTTTGTGAAGGCATCGAGTTTTGAGGTGAGATGTAACTCGAGATTCACTAAGATTATATGTTTTTAATTTCAATATAACATAGGTGGATGACAACTTATAAATTTAAATTTTGATGTTTTGAAATTATTAAATTAATTATTTTTTTAGACTTTATAAAAAATAGACTTTTTTCAGTTTTTTGTGAGCGGATAGTCCTATTAGGACATGTCCAAGTTGGTCCTTAATATGTAAAATATATAATTTTTGTTCTTTAAAAAATAATGGTAAAAAAATTAAATTTATTTTTGATTATTTAATTTATGTTCTTTATTGATTTATAATAGCGATGCAACATGAATTTATTATGTAAGGTGGAAGTTGGATAAAACTATCGAAAAGGTAAATTTTAATGTGTATGTTTTATTAATATGATATTTTTTTATTTAGTTATCAAAGAACAGTCTAGTCTTTCGCAAAAAATCAAAGAGTAGATGAGATTACGGGTCCAAGACCAAATCAGTCTCAAAGACAACTTCCTTCCCAACATTTTCGGTTCGGATCTCAATCTATTTCAATCTATCTTTTCGATCCTAGTCTTTATGCCCCTCACCAGTCTAATAGGAATAGGATTAAGTAGTTCATACGTATATAAGTTTCTAGTCATGCATTTCAACACACCTTAAAAATAGAGGACATGTCATTGAATTGGTCTACAAATGTCCCAATTATTCGTACGTGCGAAATATACGTACAATTCTTGGTTGTTGGCCGGTAAAATTATGCTCTGCCTCTCATTAACATTTAATTCTTTTATAATACTCTTTAATCTTTATGTTTCAAAATTATTTATACTACTCGAACCAAGTGCAAATTGTCTTAAATTTCAAGAACAAAATTAAAAAAAAACCATATTTAATTTGTAACATAATTTGAAGAGACAATATTAAATACTTCTTCTGTTTCTAAAAGATTGTCAGAGCTTAACTTTTTTGTCAAATTGTGACACTCTTTGACCACAAAATAAATATAGTTTAAAATAATTAAATATTATAAAATTAAATATTTCAAAACTATATTTTAAAATATATCCAATTTTACTAAATTTACATTATAACTAAATATATTTTTCATAATTTACGGTCAAAAGATGTCACAATTTAACTAAAAAGTCAAGTTATGACAATCTTTTAGAGACGGGGAAGGGAATATATAATTTTGTAAATAAACATAAAATCAAAGTGAGAACTCGAGAACATCGAACATAAAATCGGATCTCCTCCGTATAATAATAATAATAATAATAATATTCAAGACAATGGAGTATTAAAGGCCACATTTGATTGATATACGTGCTTATCGTAGTCAGTGTTACGTTAATCCAAATTATGACTATTTGACTACGAGTGATTGAGTCATTGAGCGAATTGTATTAATTCACATTCCAACCCCCACACCTAATTACGACACCTTATTTTCAAAAACTAATTGTCTGAGAGTACTCGTCCAGTTTGACTTTTTTTGAATCAAATTGGACGAAATTTGAGTCTTAATTAAGTAAACATTATAATGTATATTAGTATGAAAATGACTTTAATATACTACCTCCATTTCTCAAAAGAGTTCCTCTTTTGACTTTGGGGGAAAATAAGGAAGTGTTAAATTGTAGTTGACTTTCCAATTTTGCCCTTGATGTGATGGGTAAAAGTAAGATGTGATAATTTAGTTGTTAGTGAAAAAGTATGATGTGATAGGTAGGGTATGAAAAAGTAGGGGTAAAAGTGATTTTTTAATAGAAAGAGGAAGTGTTTTAAGAAAAACAAAAAAAATGAAAGAGGAAGGGTTTTAAGAAACGGAGGGAGTATTTAGCTTGTTTGGAACTCTTGAAATTTGATTCTATTGTATTAATATGCAATACAGAGAGTAACTAATGATAAAAGTTTGTCTAGTTTATCTCGAAAAAGTCAAATAAATGAATGAAAACGTGACAGGTGGCGTGGATGATAAGCGAAAGAATGGAACATCCTAAGCTTTGGCTATGTTGTCTGGCGCTATGGCTATTGTCGACGAGGATAGGAACCTTAGTGATGTGCGGGAGGGCAAGTTTGTCAAAAGATTTCCCATTTTTGCAGAGCTTCCCACATATTTCACCCCAAAAGAGAGAAGAGATAGTGAGGTCATGGTCTTGTAGCTCCATAAAGCTCCTTAGGATTTTATTCATGTCCATGAAAATCTTGGTTCTTCTCACCTTCTTCACTCAGGTATTATTCATGCCAAATTCCTCCTTCGTCCTAAAGTTCATACTGAACATTAATAGTCTCTCAGTTTTTCTGAATTTTTTCATTTAACTTTTTACGGTTTCAATGCAATATTTTTTGTTTTGATCTTCATATATGCTTAATATATAATGAAAGAAAGTCTAATACATCGAAATGGAAGGCAAACGTGCAAAATTTTATTTATTGATACCTTTATTTAAATTCATATAAGTTGCTCCGTATAAAAATGTAATATTTCAAAATTAACTCATTGATATTAAACTTATATCACAATTCAATATGTTTTTCCCGTAATTTGCAGTTAAAGCTTATAAAAGATGACCCTAAAAGTCAACTTGAGAAGATTCAAATGGAAGAGAGTATAAGGGGTAAATTTCACAAATGGTACCTGAACTTTAGCTGGAATTTCGAAGTGGTACCTGAACTTCAAATCCTTTCACAAAAATCCCTGAACTTACACAATCCTTTCACTAATGAGCCATTAGCCCGTTTCTAGGTTAACTTCCGGTCATTAGGGCCAAATTCGAATTTCATATATTTTAAAATTTTCAATTTGACCCCATTTCTTCTTTTCTTTTCTTCCACGCCTCGCCGCCGCCGCCCGCCGATCAAAGTCGCCGGCAAATGAACTTTTTCCGATTCCAGCGGGACTAATGTCATTTGAAATTGGTCAAAACTCCGGCGACTTTTTTCCGGCGGAATCGGAAAAAGTTCATTTCCCGGCGACTTTGACCGGCGGGCGGCGGCGGCGGGGCGTGGAAGAAAAGAAAAGAAGAAATGGGGTCAAATTGAAAATTTTAAAATATATAAAATTCGAATTTGGCCATAATGACCGGAAGTTAACCTAGAAACGGGCTAATGGTTCATTAGTGAAAGGATTGTGTAAGTTCAGAGATTTTTGTGAAAGGATTTGAAGTTCAGGTATCACTTCGAAATTCCAGCTAAAGTTCAAGTACCATTTGTGAAATTTACCCAGAGTATAAGTTAATAAACATGTTCTTACGACTCAAACAAACATTTAAAAAAAAGTTTGTATGGAAAAATTCATACAAAAAGTTGTACGCCAACACACATAGACAATCATTAGTGACTATATGTAAAGAAATTGTTGGCCGGTGGGCATTGGCGCGTTGCACAGTTGGCAAAGTTAAGGAGTGGCAAAAGCGAAAGATCCAAGTTCGATTCTTGGCAACTATGTTGGGAGGCAGTTATGCTAAGCATAGTGCTTCTGCAAACACCAGGTGTAAGCTCTACTTTTTTACCACCAATCTGCAATCAAAATCTAATTTACCTCCTCTCAGTGACCGTCCGACTAAGTCTAACGAGAGGCCTCCGGAAGAGGCTCATCCGTTTTATGAAGAAATAGTTGTGTATGAAGTATTGTTACCGCTGTCAAGCTTACTTTCATTCTTAACTAGTGTCATTTTTTTATGTGAGGGTAACATAATCTTGTTTTTGTTCATCAGGTGAATGAAAAGAATGGAAACTTATCATGGAAGGCGATAGACTACACAGGCCCTCCACACCCAACATGGAAGAGCAACAGATCATCAATGAAAACCACCAGAACAAGAACAGGAACAAAGACACAAGAGAGACGAAGACCCCATCGTCCTCGGGCCGCTCCACCGAGGAATTATCGACCCGACCCGAGAACCCACTGAGCAAGTCCTCCACAGGCTGCTAAAAATGGAATTCCCCATTTCACTCAACCCGAAAAAGAAGAAACCGCAAGACCCGACGTTCGTCGTCGAATGCAACGCGGTGGTGGTCGGGTCGGGCTCCGGTGGCGGTGTCATCGCCGGAGTTCTAGCCAATGCAGGCCACAAAGTGCTCGTCTTGGAGAAAGGCAAATACTTCGCGAGAAGTGGGCTCTCGCTCTTGGAGGGACCCACTCTAGATCAAATGTACTTAGGGAACGGCCTTCTGGCAACCACCGACATGGACGTCTTGGTCCTCGCCGGAGCAACCGTTGGCGGCGGATCAACCATAAACTGGTCCGCCTCCATCGAGACACCACCCCACGTTCTCAAAGAATGGAAAGAAGTCCACAAGCTGCAAATATTCGAAAGAGAGGCTTATAAACAGGCCATGGTGACAGTCTCCTCAAAAATGGGAGTCTAGAGCGAGGAGGTTCAAGACGAAGGGTTCCACAACACGGTCCTGAGGAAAGGGTGCGAGGAGTTAGGCTACCCCGTGGAGACTATCCCGCGGAACACTCCGCAGGATCATTACTGCGAATGGTGCGGATTTGGATGCAAGGATGGCAAGAAGAAAGGTATAGAATCATGAGAACTAATTGAAGTTTTTTTGAAACTAAGTTTGGGCATTATATTAATGATGCATTTGGGGACCCATGGTGTTTCGTTCGATCCTAAAGTAGTACCTACCCGAATTGGGCGATGGACTAGGGCAGGCGGGGGTGAGGGTAGGGGGGTTGGTGAGGGGGGGGGGTTAAGAGAGGTAAGAACAACTTCAGGATCGAACGAATCCCCATTAAGCCCCTAAATGGACTGATGTTATGATATGACACTGGTGTCCAATGTCAAAAGTTGATATCTAAGACAAGAGAAAAGGGAAACATTCTAAATGACTAATGAATATCCTTGACAAAAGGGACGGCGGAGACGTGGCTGGTGGACATGGTGGATTCCGGCAACGGGGTGATACTTCCGGGATGCGAAGCCCTAAGGGTGAGCCACCACAAGAACAACGGGAAGAAGAAGAAGAAGAGAAGAGCGGATGGGGTGGTTTTCGTGTTCAGGAAGAGGAATGGGGTGAAAGAAATTTGGATGGTGAAGTCGAAGGTGACGGTGGTGCCATATGCACTCCATCGCTGCTAAAAAACAGTGGCCTGAAGAACAGAAACATTGGCAGAAACTTGCATCTTCATCCTGTGGTTTTTGCTTGGGGATACTTTCCAGACACGCCCCCTTCTTCTTCTTCTTCTCCTGAAACATGGCCAGAAGCACAAAAGAAAGGGTATGTATATATACCACTCTTTTCTTACTCTATTTTGTGTTTGTTTTTTTACAATAGCTTTAGCATTTAGTTTTAGTGTTTAGAAAAAACTATCAAAGACAATATTAAGCCTTGTTTGGGAATAATGTTTTCAAGTAGTATTAGAGTTTTGGATTGTTTTTTACTGATGCAGTCGTGCATATTAACTTTGAAAATGTTAAAGCTAAACAGTGCTATTAGATAATCTTTTCAAATTGCTGGAATTGTAACCAAACATGCCCATAACTATAATGTTTTCGAAGTTAATCTGTACTATTAAAAAATAATCCAAGGGGTGATGATAAGTTCACATTAGGCTAAATCCACTCCATGTAAATGAACAACTTATTCTTTCACTTCTTTCCTTTTTTTAAAAAATTAAGCAACAACCTAATCCTAAATGCTAACGTTAATTAAAATGTTGTTTTGAAATGGGCACTCTTTCTCATAACTTATATCTCATTTTGACTTCACATAACTTCAAGGTAAATTTTAAAGTGTGTATTGTTTGACCTAATTTTTCCCTTCAAATGACATTGAAATGACGGCTAGATTCAATTGCCACTCATTTTGTGTGGTCACGGAAGCCACTACCATTCTTCGATGCTCCGTTCATAATTTTGATGACTCTTAACCCTCTAACTCCCCGGTAAAGTGGTAAACCACCCACCCAATCCCGACCACAACTCATTCCTCACCCATGTCAATTGCACCTCGCAAGTTTAGTTGACTTTTAAGTCATTTTTTTACTTTAAAGTCAACTAAACTTGCGGGATGCAATTGACATGGGTGGGGGATGGGTTGGGGTCAGGACTAGGCTAGGCATGGGGTTTACCGGCGGTTGGACGGGGTATGAATAATTAATTTACGAACAGAGCATCGTAAGTATCCGAATCGGAACAATGGCTTGTGATGTGTTTAATGAAGAGGACAAATAAATGGGAATAAGTAGAAAAAAGGATTTGGTTAAAAAAAAATTGACTATACAATGTTTGGGTAAAAGTCACTTACATATTGAACCAAGTTCAACAGGTACCAAGGAGGAATAATGACTGCAATGTCAAAAGTGGTGGCCAATTTTGAAGAATCTGGCTATGGGGCAATTATACAAACACCTTCCCTGCATCCCGGGATTTTCTCCGCCGTCATGCCATGGACCTCCGGCGCCGACATCAAGACACGGATGCGAAGGTTTTCACGAACGGCGATTCTATTCGCCCTGGCCAGAGACCGGACGACCTCCGGGAAAGTCGACTCTCCGTCCTCCATAACCTACAAGATCGAAGAAACGGAGAAAGAAACCCTCAGAAATGGGCTCGATAGGCTGCTGAGGATTCTGGAGGCCGCCGGAGCCGAAGAGATAGGAACCTGTAATCGGGAGGGAAAGACACTGAAGGTGAACCGCGCCGCCGGAGGGAGAGAGGAGTTTGAGGCGTTTGTGGCGGCGGAGAGCTCTAGGGATCTGGGAGATCTATCGACGCTGATAGGTTCGGCGCATCAGATGGGGAGCTGCCGGATGGGGGTGGATCCGAGGAGTTCGGCGGTGGATCCGACGGGGGAGAGTTGGGAGGCGGAGGGGCTTTTCGTGGCCGATTCCAGCGTCTTCCCGACTGCGCTTGGGGTCAATCCTATGCTCACCGTTCAAGCCATTGCATACTGCACTGCAAATCATGTGCTTCAAGCTCTCGGAACAAGATGAGAATGGCAGCAGGCAGCTCAATTGCTTTACACACTGGGACTCATTTTGAATAAAATGATACGGAGTACTCCGTAGTTTTTATACATTTGTTCATTATAATAAAATGATAGTTTTTATATATTTTTGTTCATTATAATTAAACTTAATTACTTGTTTGGAGTAATAGTTTGTTCATTTTACATGTTTTTTATTTCAGATGTACATTCTTTGAATACTCTTTTACGATAAACATAATGTTCATTTTGAAGTAAATAAACGTTCATTCTGCAAAACGTCTTGTTTGGGAAGAGCGTTTTCAATTAGCGGTAGCGTTTTGGATAAACTATTAACGGTGTAAATTAATTCAGAAAACGCTAATGTTAAAGGTCACCGTTAGATAGCGCTTTCAAAATGGTAACGCTCATCTCTAACATTGATGCTAAACGGGGCCTACATCTTCTTCACATGCATATTACCGACTCATCAGAGCTTCTTCTGTCGTCGAACCTAGCGTTTCGACCCAAACCGGCGACTTGCCATCGGCTTCAGTTCTCTTCACCCGATCTACTACCCAGGACGCCATTGCCTTCCCCACTCCCCATGCTCTAGGGTTTTCATTGCGCTCGTTTGTCGATCCATAACTTCTATTCCTCCTCCTATGCATTGTGAACAAAAAATCAAATGTCTTGTGTGGGGTATTATAGAACTTGGAGTGAATAAAGGGTATATCATTTGTCTCAAAATAAATATTTTTAAATTTATCTAAAAAGATTCTTATTTTTTTTGTATCTGTTAGACAAAAAAATACTCCCTCCGTCCCATGAAACATGAGATGTTTTGTTTTTTGAAAAGATTTAAGAAAATGTATTTTGGTATTGAATTTTCAAAAATGTCCTTTGATGTGATGGGTAAAAGTAGAATTTGATGGGTAGATTATTAGAAAAAAAGTATGATGTGATAGATAAGGTATTAAAAAGTAAGTGGTAAAAGTGACTTTTTAATAGAAATGAGAAGTGTTTTATAGGACGGATGAAAAAGGAAAGAAGAAAAATTTTATGGGAGGGAGGGAGTATAAAATAATGTCTATTTTTGAATCCATGCGCAACAAATTTCAGTTGACTTTACCTTCCCTTTTCTATGAAAGAATTTTTCATATATTTTATTTCTATTTTCTTCTCTATTCTTTTTTATTTTAATTTTGATTAAAATAAAAGAAACATTATTAAAATACTGTAGTTTTTAAACGAATTTTAAAAACGTATACGCAATATGAAACAAAAGAGAATAAAAAGAGAAAGCAGAAAACAAACTGTAAAATGGGATATGTGTTTCAATGCAAAACACCAAATGAGAAATAGAAAATACTCCTTCCGTCTCATTTTAAATAGTATGTTTTCTTTTTATGTCCATCCCAAAATAAGTTACATATATCTTATTATCGTAAACTTTTAAGGTAAAATACCCAAACTACCTCTAAAATAAGTCACTCCTTTCCACTTTATCTTCCCATTTATTGTCACCCCTTAAAAATAAGGGCATTTTTGGAAAGTCAACATTATTTTTTCCCTTCCTTAAATATACCCCAAATTCAAAATAGACAAATATAAAATGGGACGGGGAGTATGAAATAAAAATAAAACCAAAAAAGGAAACGAAAGAGAGAATGATACAAAAAAATTATAGAAAAAAAAGAAACTGAATTCATGAATGAAATTTGTTGGGTATTGGTCTAAAAAGCCCTTACTCTGTATATTTGTCTTTAGAGATAAAAAAATGACATTTTTGGATAAAAAAATAAAAAAGTTTAATCTGAGACAAATTAAGTATACGTTAATTTTTTTATTTCATTTAATTTTATTTCAAACACAATAAATTCAATTTTGATTTTTTAAAAAATAAAAAAATAGTTTTAACAAAGAACTTAAAAAACATTTATGAAAAAAGAGAGAGTGTTGGTGCCCTTTGTATTTTTTCTTTGGAGATAAAAATGACATTTTTGGACAAAAAAAATTGATACAAATGAATACGTTAATTCTTTTATATTTAATTTAATTTAATTTCAAACACAATAAATTCAATTTTGATTTTTTAAAAAAATTAAAAAATAGTTTTAACAAAGAACTTAAAAAACATTTATGAAAAAGAGAGAGAGTGTGTGTTGATGCCCATTTTCAAAACTATAACCTGCATTAGAACTATTCACCTACAAAGATATTTTAGTTCAGAGATTCATTAGCTTAAGATTAATAAAAACACGAGGGAGAACGATGTACGTTTAAGACTTAACCATTATAATATGTAATATTTGTTTATAGTTCTCATCTGTGTTACTAAAATGATAATTCTTTAAACTAAAATTAATACTTCATTTAAAAGCATGGGAAAGATTGACCAAGTTTTCTCGCTCATTGACTTTGCAATATATATGGAAATATTGAGCGCGTTCATTAATTTGTGTGCGTTATATGGAAATATTATGTCAACTTTAACATATATGATTCACTCATTCCAAAATTAACGCGTATTATATATATGGTTCATTGATTGGATGAAAATCTTATTATTAGTAGTAGTATTATACTATTATTATATATGGAAATGAAAATATGAAAATAGTATTGAAATATTAGAATAGTAATATTGGTTATTGAATTATAAAGTACATGATAGAGTATATATATGAGGAACTCCTAACACAATTAGAAATAGAAAATGGAAACTCTCTAAAATACTACATCTATCATATATAAGAATATGAAGCTGACTAAAATACAAAGTCTACTATAAATAATACTAACATAATTGCTATTTTTATTATTGTCTAACATCCTTCCTTAAACTGAACTCTGCCCGAAGCAAGAGGAAGTTTGAACACTAGGATGAAAACTAAAAAACTTTGAGAAGAGAGAAGTCTGATGTACACCGATGGGTGCCAACATCGGTGGAGAAGAGAGAAGTCTGACGTGCGCAAGTGGCCGCTGACGTTGTTGGAAAAGAGAGAAGTCTAGCGTGCACTGATAGCTGCAGACATCATTGAAGAAGAGAGAAATTGACATGCACTTGTAGTTGTTGACGTCGATGAAGAAGAAAGAAGATTGATGTGCGCTGATAGTTGCTACATCGAAGAAGAAGAGAGAAGGTTGATGTGCGCTTGTAGCTGCTAACGTCGAAGAAGAATAGAAAGAACGAAGGCTACTGGCATTCCCCTATTTCCTATTGTTTGTCTTTTTTGTTAGATACGGGCATTCCCCTATTTCCTTTTGAAGGGGTGCGTTTTAGAGGCATTTTTTCCTCTTTCTCTATTCCCCCCCTTATGGCCTTACTCTTGGTTTTTACTTGTTCTACAGAAGAGAAAAAACAGAAATTGATTATACGAATAGGAATCAGGAGGAGAAGGTATTATGGTTTGATTTGTTATTTTTCTTGTGGAATAATTACGAAGGAATTAAGCAATTGAGAATATTAAAGAAGAATTGAGAAGGGAGGAATGACAACGGCCCGACGCTAGATGAGATTCAACCTTAGACGATGGTGAAGCAGTTGTGGATTTTGATGGCATGTTTCCCTTCAGTAGTTTTTTTAGAAGAACCATTTAGACAACAAAGAAAAACTCTTCTTTTGATGATTTTTTGTGCGATTTCAACTTGGAAGTTTTTTTCTTTTATTTCTTTGAATGGAGAAATTAATTTGAGAATAAATGGATGAAAAGAAAATATAGGTGAATAGGTCACAAAGAGCGGTGACTCCGATACCATGTTGAAATATTAGAATAATAATATTACTAATTGAATTATGGAGTACATGATAAAGTATATATAAAAGGGACTGCTAACACAACTAAAAATAGAGAATGAAAACTCACTAAAATACTACATCTACTATAAATAGAAATATGAATCTGACTAAAATACAAAGTCTACTACTATAACCAATACTACCATAATTGCCATCATTATTATTGTCTAACAAATATGAATGCCACTTTCTTGGCATAGAATAACGCTCATTCCAAAATTAGACATTTACTCCGTATTATATATAGAAATATAAAAGCAGGGGAAATATTGGTCAAATTTTCACTCATTTTGACTTTGTAATATATATAAAAATATTGAGTGCGTTCATTGTTTTTTTGCATTATACAAAAGTTTTGTGTACATATATGGTGCTTATAATATATAGAAATTTTGTGTGCGTATAATATACAGAAACCTAATTAATAATAATATTGTAAAATTTGTGTGCGTGTAATACATGGAAACATGATTAATAATAATAATAATTTTAAAATTGATATAAATTTCAGTTTAAAATTCATACAAATATAAAAAAGTTAATGGGCCAAAAACACAAGGTCGGGTATTGATAAAAATAATATTATTATTATTGATGAAAATATAAAGTGCGTTTTAATAATAATAATAATAGTATTATTATATATGAAAATTTTTATGCGTTCATTATATATGGAAATTTTTTGTGTGTTTGACCAGTTCATTATTCAAGTAAATTATTATATTATATATAGGCACATCTAGCTTCCTCGTTTAGCTCTTTGGCCGAATCAATTATGGATATTTCATATCTAGCATTAGTATGAAAGCTTGGATTTATTATGAACAAGAGATAGATCTATTGGAAAAATAATTTAGAACTTAATACACAATAACTCAGTAAATGAGAGGTCAACGAAATTAATCAAACGCTCACTGAATGATGAGCTAATCAATTCGTATGTGATAAATCCCTTTGTACGTAAGTGTAGAGACTATGTAGAAATATAAAAGACGAAATAATTTAGATTTAACTTCTCTAAAATTGGATGAAGCTAATGTACCATGGATTTATTTGGGAATGATATATTTTTATAGCATTACACAATTAACATTAATATTTTGAATAAAATTTTAAAATTATAAATTAATTTCAAAAATACCAACACTACAATTAAAAATGTTTTTTTTCAAAATGCTAACTTTAAATTCTAAAAAGATTAGTACCAAACCATCAAACAAGCCTTTGATTCTTGAACTGTGTTCAAGTAACCTGAATTTCTACCAGCCAGAACCACGTGCTTCTCATCGATCGTCGTCTCCTCCGTCGTCGTCTTCTTTTCTCTGCGCTTATCCTTCGATTATACTTCCACAGTGGTGAATGTACGCAAGTCCGGCATCAACCAACCCATCAGCGATTTGTCGACACTAGACCTAGCTAAACTCAGATTGGATTGCCCGGGCTCCAAGATTGAAGCCGTAAACCCTGGAATCCTTCTGAACTTCGGACCCCAATTCTAATATTCGAGTCTGGGTTTGAATTAAGGAACTGGGAATCGGGTTTGGGCGGAAAATCCGATCAAAGTTACGAACTTTGGTTCGGTACCGGAGAAGAAGATGGAGCAGCTGAAGACCATCGGGCGGGAGCTCGCAATGGGATCGCAAGGTGGGTTCGGTCAGTCGAAGGAATTCCTTGACCTTATAAAGTCCATCGGCGAGGCCCGATCCAAGGCGGAAGAGGACCGGATCGTGGTGAACGAGATCGAAACCCTCAAGCGCCGCATAGTGGAGCCGGATATCCCCAAGAGAAAGATGAAGGAGTTCATAATGCGGCTCGTGTACATTGAGATGCTGGGCCATGATGCATCCTTCGGGTACATTCATGCCGTGAAGATGACACATGATGACAATCTGCAGCTGAAGAGAACTGGATATCTTGCTGTGACATTGTTTCTGAACGAGGACCATGATTTGATCATCTTGATTGTGAACACGATTCAGAAGGACTTGAAGTCTGATAACTACTTGGTCGTCTGTGCAGCTCTGAATGCCGTTTGTAGGTTGATTAACGAAGAGACAATTCCGGCCGTGTTGCCTCAAGTGGCGGACCTGTTGGGGCACGCTAAGGAGGCTGTTAGGAAGAAGGCTGTCACGGCACTCCACAGGTTTTACCAGAAGTCTCCATCTTCTGTTCTTCACCTTGTCTCCAATTTCAGAAAGGTGCACCCTTTGATTGAAGAATAACAAATTACTAGTGATAAGAAAGTTTTCAAGGCCAAAGATGCACTTCCATTTATTTCTGTTGTAGTATTTATCATGGTACCAAATAGATTGTAGGAAAAAAGGTCCCTTTAGCATCAAATTGAACTACGAAGAACATGCTATTGGTATACTGTTAATGAACACTACACCAGTGGATGCGGAATTGCCACTGGATTGCATTGTTCTCTCCATGTGATTTTTATCCGCCAGCTTTATATATTTTTCCGTCGATACTTGGTGGAAAAGGAATATTAGCATTAAGCGGGTATCAGATTTTAATAGTTATGAGAACTATAATAACAGTGTGGCATGGCTGAAAAAGGATCTTTATGTTTATCATAGGTAGCATATCTCATTTTCACTCGAGCTTATGATATTCTTAAATTTTAACATCACTTCAGAAGCTCTGCGATAGCGATCCTGGTGTTATGGGTGCTGCTCTCTGTCCTCTTTTCGATCTTATTACAATTGATGTTGATTCCTATAAGGATTTAGTGGTGAGCTTTGTGAGCATTCTCAAGCAAGTAGCTGAAAGGAGATTACCTAAGAGCTATGATTATCATCAAACACCCGCTCCATTCATACAGGTGTGAATAGATAGAGTTTAGTTTCAGCTTCTTATTTTCTTATCAGCATGTTTGTTTTTACAGATTAAAATTTTTCTTTCCATAATAATGTCAGCACTATATATTTTGCAGGTAAAATTGCTGAAAATTTTGGCTCTACTGGGATCTGGTGACAAAAAAACAAGTGAACACATGTATACCATTGTTGGTGAAATAATGAGAAAGTGTGATTCAACAACTAATATAGGAAATGCTATTCTATATGAATGCATTTGCTGTGTTTCCTCCATCCACCCAAACCCCAAGCTACTAAAATCTGCAGCAGATGCAATTGCCAAGTTTTTCAAGGTTCGTTGTCCTATGGGTTTTCCCCATGTTGTCTTGATATTTCTGTTTTTATTAAATACCCGGAGTAATAGAAAACTAAAGACTTTTTATGGTTTACATGGTGGACAGAGCGATAGCCATAATCTCAAGTATTTAGGCATTGATGCACTTGGAAGATTGATAAAGATTAGCCCAGAAATTGCGGAACAACACCAGCTAGCTGTAATAGATTGCCTAGAGGTGAAGATTGTTCTTTCCCAATTGCACTCAGAGTATGATGTTTCAGTAGCTGGTACTATGAGGATGCTCATTTGAATTTTTCTCTCGAATCTTGGTTCTTAGTGTGGACAAAATTAGCTAATATCGAAGTATGTTTTAATTTAATTGCTTATTTGCTCAATCTTTTTTGGAACATCTTTTTTCAAATAGTGTAAGTGTGGAAACATATAAACAAACTTTGGAGTCCACCCTTTCTAAATATGTCTCCATCATATGAAGCTTGAGCTGGGTTAAACATAAGCTCATAAAATATATGGAAGGATTTGCAGAGTTCACCGTTGACTTTGTGCTCTCTCTTTTATATTGGACATAACAAATACACCTTTGAGGAGTTTCAGTGAACATTTTTACAAGAATATTTGGACACTTTTTGCACTTATTACAACCTTCGCTCGGTACTTTGGAATGTTTTTCCACGGTATCATTTATATCACCCATATTCTTTGAAGATATATTCACCATGAAAGTTGTAAGACTTTGTTTTCCTTGTGATACATCTGGGAAAAACTTTTAACCCATTTCCTGAATTCTGAAGCAGAAAATAAAATCTCCTTGTCTTCTTGATAGATAGTTATAATCAACTCTGAATGGACTGATATAGCAATTCCATACTGTGAATGTTGATCAAGTCCTTGTTAGTTATTACTTCTGGGGAAGATAACTTCATTAATATATATTATAGTTTGCTCAGTTACTCCTAATTTGACGTTCGATGTGCTGCATGATGCAGGATCCAGATGACACCCTAAAGCGAAAGACTTTTGAGCTTCTTTATAAAATGACAAAGTCGTCAAATGTGGAAGTTATTGTGGACAGCATGATTTCTTACATGATAAGCCTAAATGATACCCATTACAAAACTGAAATAGCATCTAGATGTATTGAACTTGCAGAACAATTTGCCCCAAGCAATCAATGGTTTATCCAGGTTATTCAATAGTGCCAGTTCTTACCTCTGCTATTTTATTAGCAATGCTGAAATGCTCGAGTTCTGACTATCTGCTTCTTTAACTTTTATTTTTACAGACAATGAACAAAGTATTTGAGCATGCGGGGGATCTAGTGAACATAAAGGTTGCACATAACTTGATGAGACTGATAGCAGAAGGGTTTGGAGAAGATGATAATAGTGCTGACAGTCAGCTGAGATCTTCTGCTGTACGTGTTTGTTATATCTTTGGACTATCTATCTTTTTCTTGCATACTTTTCATTTTTAGAAAAAAGTATCTACATTCAAACATTCAATGACACATTTTGGCGCTTTTGCGTGCATGTGTGGGTGGATATGTATTTATGAGATCATATTAATTTATACCAACTCCAACGTAGTGTGATATGACTGATTACTGCATTGTGTATTTGACATTGGCCACTGGTTCTCCAGTATAAGAGCGCACAAATTATTATTAGTATTACTATTTGCAATTATTATTATTGTTATTATTATTATTATTATTATTATTATTATTATTATTATCATGTTTATGTTTATTGTATGGTATTGCATATTGTCATATGGATTCTAGCATCAAAGACATGCACTGTGCAATGCTTGTAGTTCCATATTCTTCATCGCATACATCATTAGATAAACTGTACGGTCTTCTTTTTTCCATTTCAAATAAATCCTATGAGCCACAAATCACTTGCATCCCAAAGCGCTTGCTACATTATTTTTCTATTTAACCACTCACAAAGACTTTTTTTTTTGAAAATTGAATGCAGGTTGAATCATATTTGCACATCATGGGAGAGCCAAAACTTCCCTCTGTGTTTCTCCAAGTAGGTTCTTTGAAATTAAAGCATTTTTATACCCCGGAGTAGAACTTTCATCCATGATGAAGACATGGAGTTAGTAAATGACATCTAGATAATTGCTACATGACATTAAAGCATTTTTAAACTGCTACATGACATCTAGATAATTGCTACTCTGTCAAGTCAGGGCAGGGGGTGGAGTGGGTGGGTGGGGCTGTTAAGATGCATGTAGCCTTAGTGCCTTACACCCCGTGAAAAGGAGAGAGCCTGTTTCCATTTGACTCTTGATGCATTATTGCATTTACTACACACAACTTCATAAAAGTAAGAAGCTTGTCTAGTTTAAGGTGCCATATTGTTTAGGCCATTATTTTCATGAAGCTAAAAACATTGTCAATATTGACTCTTTAGCTCCAATGCTCCATCGCTAATGGACAAAAAATAAATATAATCAATCCAGTTTAATAAATACTGTACTTATTTGATTATTGTGCATTTGCAGGTCATTTGTTGGATTTTGGGAGAATATGGAACTGCTGATGGGAAGTATTCTGCTGCCTATGTAACTGGGAAAATTTGTGATGTTGCAGAGGCACATTCAACTGATGACGCTGTCAGGGTATGCTATTCTTTCCTCTACTAGGAATTAATGTTTGGCCTTCCCATAGTAATAAGTAACTGCACAAGTTTACAACAACAAACCCAGTATAAACCCAACATTGTCAGGGTGTGGGTGTCAAGAACATGTATGCAACTTTAGATCAGTAAAAAAAATTAGAAAAAGTGTTTCCGTTTGACCTTTAATGTGTTGCTGACTTGCTGCATATATTTCATAGAAAGTATGAAGCACAAGACATTTAGGACCCTTTTAGATCTCATCACAAATTGTGACTCAAAATCTTGGATTTTGAGATGATTTAAAGTTAGTTATTTTAGGTAACTGAGATTACAAAAATTCATTTTGAGTGATGGTTTCGAGCAAATGAAGATTGCATGTTGACCTTAATTTTACATTGAGCTCAAGTAATCTCTACCTTTTAACTTCGTAGGTTTATCGATCTCTTTCCTTACATTGAACTCGAGTCATTTTTACCTCTCAAGTTCTTGATTCTATTATTGTAAGCACAATCACTCCACTTATGTTTTGTGGAGTGAGGGAGCTTCGGGGGTGTGGGGGTGGGGGGTGGGGGGAATAGTTCTGTTATAAGATTATATAATGTATGCGTACTATGTTCATATATTGAGGTTATATATAATTTTCTGCTTACTTTCAGGCCTATGCAATATCTGCACTTACAAAAATATATTCATTTGAGCTAGCAGCAGGAAGAAAAATTGATATGTTGCCTGAGGTAAGGTGTTTTTCTATTGTGACCTTTGGATTTTACACCAAGTTGGAGCAAAAAACGTGTTTAAGATGCCTTTTGATTCTTGAATAACTAGAACTCTGAAGTAATTATGGTTAAGATGAACCATTCTTATTGATGGTGATGTGTCTAGATTTCATTGGCGACTTTTATTATCACAACAACCCAGTATTATACCAATTTTGTTGGGGTCTGGGAGTTCAAGATGTATGCAGTGTTACACATGTAAAATACATAGAGACTGTTTCCGTTATACCATTGATTCATTGTTGCTTTTTCTGCCCAAGACTTCATTGGAAGTAAGAAGCAAAGGAAGTTCAATGTGCCATTTTGAGTTAGTCCATTATTTAACTGAAGTTAAATCTTTGTCAATTACTTTTATTATCACACATATTAAATTAAATTTCCCACCTTTTAATGCTATTGTAAGTATGTAACCATTGTTGCAAGATACACATCGCTATGTGGCGGTTCTGTTATTATATTCCATAGATAAAGAATATGGGTTCCAAATACCAACCGAAAAAGCATTTCCTTTCTACAGTGTCAATCATTTGTCGAAGAATTACTAGCGTCCCACTCCACAGATTTACAGCAACGTGCATATGAACTTCAAGCTGTCCTTAGCTTAGATCCTCACGCTCTTCAAAATATAATGCCAATGGATGCAAGCTGTGAAGATGTTGAGGTAATGTGATTGATTTGATTTCTTTTTTTAATCTTTGTTACTTTTGTGCTTGGTTTGGGCAGCGAGCGTTTTAGTAGGAAATAAAGAAGTATTATAGGAAGAGGTGGAAGACAAAATGCAATACTACCTCTGTCCCATATCTTTCTTTTCGTACTTCTGTTTGGACCGTCCTATATCTTTCTTCACATTTCCTTAACACCATGTTTGGTTCAAGGAATTTGAAAGGAAAAAGAAAATGACGGAAAACAACTTTTCTTGTTCGGTAAGAGAAGAATAGACTAAGAAGAGAACAATTTTCGTTCTATTTTGGTGAGGAAAAAGGAGAGACTCCTCTTTCTTTTCCTTCCAAATTCCACGAATCAAACATAGCATAAATGGAAGACTATTCATCTTTTTTACAACTAATAGACTACCTTACTTTTGTACTATTCCTTTTTTACCTCTCTTCAATTTAATACACCCCTAAATACAAAAATGGAAGGTCAATTTTACTTTTCATTTTACATTAAAAAGCGGGCTAAGTCAAAATGAGAATAAAGACATGGGACGGAGGGAGTAAGTAGAAAACAAAGGATTTTTTTTTGGGAGAAAAAAGAGAGAAATGGAAGAGAACATGAAGAGGAGGATGGAAATAAACTTTGTTGAAAAGCCATATTTGCACTTACTTTATATAGGTAAATTAAAAATATTAAGGTTAAAATTGTACTAATTCACAACATTTCATGTAATTCTTGTGCAGGTTGATAAGAGCCTTTCATTCCTCAATGGCTATGTTCAAGAGTCCTTGGAAAAGGGCGCCCGGCCTTATATCCCAGAGGCTGAACGCCATGGAGTGTTGAACGCCGCTGTCTCTTATTCCAAGAATCAAGACCACCAAAATGGGACTTATCCCCATTCTCTGAGATTCGAAGCTTACGAGCTCCCTAAACCCTCATCAATGGCTGCTGTTCCAGTTTCACTATCCTCGTCCTCTTCCTCCTCCTCGACCAACGTTATTGTTCCCATTTCCCAACCTTCTTCCTATCATCACGGAGAAGGAGCCTATGAAAAAGCATCTGCTTCCGATTCTGGAATCAAGCTCCGTCTTGATGGTGTCCAAAGAAAGTGGGGTAGGCCCACTTACTCCCCCTCCCCCTCTCCGTCTGCGGCACCACCACCGCCAGCCCCTTCTACTAGCGGCATTAAGCCTCAGAGCATATCAAATGCTTCTAATAATAAAAAACAGCAGAAAGTCGTTGCCGATGTTGATCCAGAGAAACAGAAACTTGCTGCTTCGCTTTTCGGCGTCGGGTCAAAAACCGAAAGACGGCAACACTCTTCTGGGACTGCCCACCACAACAGAGCTTCTTCCAACAGTGGCATGCCGGTAAAACCGGCAACCCCACAGCCACCACCTCCGGACTTGCTTGACTTGGGCGGGGAACCGACCACAAGTGCCCCGACACCCACCGTAGCACCACTGATGGATCCTTTCATACAATTGGAAGGCCTTCTCGATGATGTCAGCCAAGTCTCCCTTCATGGCGAGCCGACGACGACTTCAAAGGGGCAAAATGACACAAATGGACACGGAGGAAATGCGACACGGGAAGCGAGCAAGGGGCAAAAACCCAGAGATGGTATTGAAAAGGATGCTCTTGTGAGGCAAATGGGAGTGACCCCATCCACTCAAAATCCCAACCTGTTCCGGAATCTGCTCGGGTAAGTACTTATATTATATATACATACACTCCGTATATATTTTCGGGACCCACTCGTTTGAATGTTTATTTGGGTTAACCACCCATGGTTAAAGCTAAACCTGTGCCGTGGTGTGGTAAACCTGGGATTGTTTGTATCAGTTAATGGCATGCATGCACGGTTAGTGTAGATAGTGAGGCCTGATAGAGGAGGAATTAGAGAGGCGCATGAACTTAACATAATTTCTAGTCATGTGCTGTTTTCTGTTTTTGTTTTTGTTTTTACGAGGATGCCTTGGGGAGTGTTTGGGATTCATAAAAGGCTGTTTTTTTATATTTTATAATGTATCGTATGGACTACGTTGATTCATTATTATGCTTGCGGCGTCTACCTTTGCTATTGAAGTAACAATTGCATCATCTGTATATGAATGAAGTACATGGGAGGTCCATCCATTATGCACACACTATACTTAGTTTTCATACAACAAAATGCATCAATTTAGTCCGTGAACGTTTTATGTTTCATCAAACACGTCTCCCCGACCATTTCCACCTTACAAATGTAACTAGCAAGACGACTAAATTGATGTTTTTTTGGTAAAACGACTTCGAGTCGTGAGATAAGTTCTATTTATTGCATGCAGCCAGGGATAACAACCTATTTCCATTTCTTGAATTTGCCAAAGTGCAATCTCCCATATTTGCCATGCTTTCCAAACTTTCCATGCTTCCCAAACTTGCCATGCCCATGGTATCTGCCACCGTGTCCGTAGTGAGCACCACCGTGCCCTAGGTGGTGATGATGCCCGTATCTGGCTGCCGCTGCAGCTGTTGCAATACCTCCTGCTAACAACGCCCCATACCCAAGATGCCCTCCTGAGTATATATACGGAGTATGTAAGAACGTGATGTTAAATAACAAATGAATGTGGACATACAGTATGCCCACATTCATTTACTTCTTAATGTAAGTAGAAAGTCGTACACAATTACCTGGTTGGTGGTGGTGATAATAATTGGCCGGAAAAGCGTGGTGGCCGCCGGGGGGATGGGGATAAGAAGAAGGTGGAGGATATCCATGGGGTGGATACCCTCCAAATGAAGGTGGTGGATACCCTTGTGGAGGGTAACTTTGAAATGGTGGGGGAGGGTAAGTTTGAGGCGATGAAGGACAACTATACCCACCATATGAAGAGAGAAACCCTTTATCTTTCCCTTGCATTTTCTTCTTTATTATGAATATGTAAATCAATAAATAGTTACACACTTAATAAATTCATATTTCAAAAAAAAAAAAACTTACATCCCAATAAATAAATTCGAATTTTAAATAATTGAGTGCTTCGTTCTATCATAGATTTAAACTTGGAGTTATGATTAATAAATAAATAAAATTTAAAACTTAAATAATTGAGTGCTTTTTTAACAGAAATAAGTTAATAAAATAAATAAACGTGCGTGTGTCGTAATTTTATAAAAATATTTATGTAGCTCCCATGAATTCCAAGTTTAACCTCAGGTTCACTTAATAATTTATCTAAATAATAAGCTCAATTGTATGCTCGTGATGGATTCTTGACACGATTTTCAGTGTTTGGCTAAACATTATTTTAATTCACTTTATTTAAATATTACACTAAAATTAAAAAAAAAAAGAACTTATAGAATTAAAATCTACATCAAATATTGTTCAAAAAAATAGCCGACATGACTATATTATTTATAAAAAAATATATGCAAATAGTGAAGATTTTGTTGACAATGTAAAAAAATCCATCGTGACAGAAAGTAAAGATTACTACGATTTTTGTCTTAGAATATTTGTTCACTTCAACTTTTTTGTTCAAAGAGGATGAAAATTCGATCATCAAATGAATAAAAATTTAATTACTCTGTAGCCTATACGTAAAAATGCAAAAACTTACGTAACATATATGAGTCAAGGTATGATCCATATGTATATTAGTATACACATATTAAAGTGTGCAAATTTGATCTATATTTTATGCTTTGTAATTAAGAAAAGATGAACTTGAATAATGAAAAACTAAATACATAGCCAATAAAAAAATAGTGTATATGCATTTATAGAAAAATTTATTTATGAATAAAAAGAAATTAAAATTCAATTGCCTAATAATAACCAAAGAAGGGGACAAGCAATCAAGATCATACTTACAAATTTCGAAGTAAGAAATAAACTAATATTGCAGCAGATACAATGAATGATTGAGTTGAAAGTAGAGTTTTTTAAGAGTTGATAAAAAATGAAGGGACACATGCTATATTTATAAGGATAAATAGACTTGGCAAATCCGTCGGTCGGGCTGAGTTCGGGTTCGATCACTTTGGTTTCAGGTTACTTCGATTTTGGTTAAGTTTGGACTCGGGTTGAGAACTACATCCAGTGTTGTCGGGTTCGGGTCGATCTGACGGGCTATGACCTTTATTTATTCTTTGAAATTTTAAGTAATTTTTATGACCCAATGTCAATATTGCGAATAAAAAAACTAAAGATGCAGAAATTTTGAAAAAAGTAAGATGATTATAATTTTGAAAAATTCTTACATTAGCGGGTCGATCAGGTCGGATTTGACCCGTTTTTAGCTGATGGTTTTGGGTGCGGTCAATTTCAAGTTCGGTTAACAAAGCCTTTGTTCAAAACCCAGTATTTTCACGTCGGGTCTCGGATAAAAAAACATGTCGGGTAATTTTTTGTCAGGTCTAGAGATAAATTTATTTTAGTATCCCTCTCTCCCAAAAAACTTTACATACTTTCCACTTTTGGACGTTTAAAAATGATATTTTGCTTATTTGATTTTTTTTCTTAGTAATGAACATGTAGCTCACAACGTAGTCTAAATAAATTATAAGTACACAATTTAACTTTTTAAATGTTTTTGAACTTCGTTACAACTAAAAAGTAGGGAATAAATGGATAAAGGTTTTTTGGGAGGGAATAATATTTCTATTCGTTTGTTCCATTCATGGCGTTACTAAGACGCGGGTTTGCATATTTCAGCATGTCCACACGTTTCTTTTTAATTCCTTTTTTATTAAACATGTTCACATAACTTATTTTATACGAAGTATAAAAAAATTCATGGTAAATAATTCCTTTGTATTTTCGTGACTCATTTGACAGAATATTAGAAGAAATAAATAAAAATTTTAGTCAAACAATATAATACACGATGTAGAGATAATTTATGTACAGAGAGAGTATGTATAAACAATTACTACATATTGTAATTGAGTTAATAACACAAAAAAGTTACTATTTAATTATTTGTAAAACTGTATTCAAATATATTTAAAACTTGTCGAATTGAATAGATACATATTTTTATTTGAAAATGTAACAAATAGTAATAACCATGTATATTCTTATTCTTTTTTAAGTACGAATCACGAATCGAATCGACATTATTCATTTTGTTTACAATCCTACTCGTATGTGTACTTCAATAACATGACCTGCTTTATTTCTTTCTTTGAGTATTCAATGGCTTTCACATAAGATTTGGTCAGCAATAGGAAATTCAGGAACTATGTCCACTGGAACCTGAAGATCAACAATGGGCAAGAAGAAATATGTCAATTAAGGATAAGATAAATAAAATATGATGTGTGATTATGATTCACAAGCTCAGCAAGTAATAAAAATATGAAGTGAATCTCCATGAGAGTGAGCTTTTGTTTAATCTCTTTACTGAACAAAGTTATAGTCCATCCCATTTGCTTTTGATACATTTGGTTCCGTAGCCCGAGAGGCTGTGGAATTCCTTGACATGGTTCATCGGATTTGCCCGCCACTTTATTTGTAATTGGTTGAAAGTATATATGGCACGGCACGGCACGTCCATTTTGGTGCATTTGACCTTAGATTGAAACGTCTTGAAATCTAGGACTAGAGTTGTTTGATAGACCTTCGGGCCTTAGTTTGTAGTTTATGCTTTTTTTGTTAATGTCGGTGCGCGCTTACTTTGTGCTACTGTTTTGACTTTGTCTGCGCTTTTGTGTTTGCCCTGAGGGTCTCTTGGAACTTAGGAGTAAGGTCTGCGTATACACATCTCTTCCCAGACTTTATTGTGGGATTTTACTTGGCATGTTTTTCTTTTGCATTAATTTAGAACTCCATTGGTAAGAGTAAACAAGGGTAAAAATATCATTTTACTCCATTTCCTATTGCTACAAGCAAAAAAGTTAGAAAATATATCGACAACGAAAAGAAACAAACGTGTTCTTGAGAAGATCATATATATACCTGAACCGTTTCCAGCTTTTCGAGTGCTCTTTGCAATGGTGGAGTCATAACACCATATTTTTGCAGAAGCATTCTCGCACCATCCTTATCACCTCTAGCTTGTATGGTAAGAATTTCCCTGCTCAAGCTCTCAACCACACTCTCAACCTTCCACACAATAGGAAAAATTACAAACCATTTGCAGCAAACCATTTAAACCTCAATAGGTGACTCCTAGAATTAGAAAGAGGCCAAGTAGATACTCTTTTCATGAAGTTTACTTTTTAGGTTTCGGATGTCTCAAAATGAACTTTACACTTTTCCCGCTTTCCCTTTTGGAGAATGAATGTGTGACTCTTGTAAGTTGAAATTTCTCACTTCTAAATAAACTTCATCGTAAATATGAAAGAGATGAAACGATAATATGGCATTTGTATTTCAAGAGTGTGATCCCCTCTCCAAGCTAGGAGGGACTATTCATGGGGAACATGGAGAGGATTGTACTATTGTAGGCAATCAATCTCTTATGAGTCTTATTCCCTAGCCCGAAGCATTTCATGTGGGAGTATTAATTATGAAATGAACTGGGTATATTGGGCCTAATTCACTATACATATTTGAACCGATCACTATATACCCTTATGAAAGGATTGCATCTTTTTACCTTATTGAAGTTGACGGAGAAAGTCTCATCC